TGCTGTTCCATATTGTTGACACTCACTTATGATGGTTTGAGTGAGTGTCAACAGCAGCTGCGAAATAGGATTTTTCTACGTTTCAATTGAGAAAATCAAATTTATCAGATAAATTTTTTTTTGGATTTCAAAGAGTTATATACATGATATAAAAAACTCCCATATTTCAACAGTAAGAGGACAGTAGGAAAAGATATGAATATTGTATTCAATTTTACCACACGTTTTTCATTTGTTATTTTTAAAGATCTGTTGCCTTGTGCTTTTGGCTAGCAAGGCTGCAGAGGTAAACTTTTATGTAAAAAACGAAAGAGGATATTTTGTATCGGTCCTCATGCGTGGGAAGTAAAGTTTTTTTTTCCAAATTTTTTTTTTCCAAATTTTTAGCATTGTTGTTTATGTTGAATTGTTCCAGAAAAGTTCTGCTGGCACAACTGTCTTTTTGTTTTTTGCCACTTCTAAGTAAAAAATTTTGTTAATTTTAGGGGGATGTTTCAATTGTTGTTTTGTAGTACTGAGACGTTATATTGTCCCACTGTTTTGGAAAAGTGTTTTGCCTTAAAAAATTCCAGCTTTGGTTTTGGTTTGTAAATTTTATAAGTGAACTTGCTAACCTATACTTTGAAAAGTAGTAATAATTGTGAGTTTTATCCTCTCCGCATTCTTTCATTTGAAAGAGTTTTTTGAAGCGATGTGCAAGACTTTGCTCGTTCGATGATAAAAATCCGAGATCCCCGTTTTTGACGGGTAAAAAAAGTTTCTCTCTTTTAACCGAATCGAAATTGGTTTTTTGCCACAGATTTTCAAAACTGGCTTTGTGCAGACATTTTATTACCCATTTGGGAATGGGCAGCACGTTTGCCAAAAACCACACTTTTGACAATGCTAGCGTTTTTATCAACATAGTTTTTCCCCTAAGTGACAAAGTACGTAGCCCAGAAACTTTAGTTTTTTCTCTACTTTGTTTAAAGTTACTAACCAGTTAAAATTATTAGTTTCACTCAGTCTGGTATAAAAAGTAACACCTAATATTTTGAAACCGGTTTTATTGTTCCACTTTTTGCCGTCGAATTCTGGATACATTTTAGGATTAAAACCCCCAAAAGCGAGACCCTTAGTTTTTGAGGCATTGATCACTGAACCACTTGCTTTTTCAAACAGTTTTATTTTTTCGAAAAAATAGTGGACAGATTTTACGTCCCATGCAAAAAAGATCGAATTGTCTGCTTAATGCTGTAATTTGAGGGATTTCTGTGTTTTCGGTGCGCGTTAATTAATTGAAAAATATAATGCGTTAAAAAAAATTATTTTACTTATACTTTATTAACTTAGTAAATAATTAATTATATATATTGTTTGGTGTGGTGGTTAATAAATTTGATCGTTGCGCCTGCTTTCCAGGTTAAATTCCAAATGAAGTCTAGTTTCGTTTTTTTTTTTAGAATATTTCTTTATTTATTAACTAACTGATGCTAAAATATTAATAATAATAAATATTAATAATAATAAAAGACACGGCGGTTAATAAACAGTTAAGTAAAGGGCGAGTCTTTCGCACGCTCTACGTGAATAGACTATATCTTATTATAGTCTATTTGTACGTTTAAAAAAAAATTCCAGTTAGGTTTTTAATATGAAATCTCTCACAAACAAAAAATGTTTATAACTTAAGTCATATATTTTGAAAGCAATTTAATTTTTTTAATCAGTTATAAAAAAAATTACTGAAACATAATTGAATTTTTATTCAAAAAACAAACAAAAATGTGCCAATAGATAAAATAAACAATAAGAAATACTTCTTTTCTTTAATTAAAAGATTGCCTACCCAAGCCGAAACCTTCCTCATTGTATTTATACTTATCCGTGGATAAGCAGTCGATATGTATAAACACTACGGTGCGCATATCCTTCAAAACTCAGTCAACGCAGGTACTGCGTTATTTCTCGACTGCGCTAGTTAAATTTTAAAGTTAAAAACTAATATTAGTAAATTTAATTTTTATAAATTCCCTTTAAATTCGATGATCTTTACCTTTTTTTAATTTAACGTGTGAATAGACTTTAATTAATTATAGCCTATTCGCACGTGCTGACAACAATTGAAAACTAATACACTAATAATTTTTTATTTTTAATATTTGTTTTTAATATATATAAATATATATAAATATATATATATATATATATATATATATATATATATATATATATATATATATATATATATATATATATATATATACATATATATATATATATATATATATATATATATATATATATATATATATATATATATATATATATATATATATATATATATATATATATATATATATATATATATATATATATATATATATAAAAGATTTATTTACTTTCACCGGCTTCACTTCACTTCTCAAAATAAATATTATTTACAAGTGTAAAATTTTGCTAAAAACGTACGCCACAGGCGTTCATGAACTTTCTAGTTTATAATAAGCATTTATTTAATTAAATTTTTAAAGTGCGTACTTATATTTTTATAAGTAAAATTCAATTTATATAAATTTCTTTTTCGTCTTTTTTTATTTGTAACTATTTTGGTTGTACCTTAAATATAATATTTAAATAAAATATAATTTATAATATTCTATTATAATTTATATGTGAATAATATATAAATTTTATTAAATATATACAATAGTATTAAATTTTTCCTAATCAGTACGGCATCGTACTCTAAAACGTGAGGTGAGGCATGAGACCCTTAGTTATACCTATTATTTATTTATATAAAAATGACTGGTTTTTGTGCAAGCGTTATAATTTATATAACAACGAACCATATGACGTAAATTATTTATATTAGTAAAAATTCTTAAGATGGGTGTGCATAGTATGTGATAAAAAAAAAAGTCATTATTTTGTAATGTATTTTTTAACTATTTAAACAAAATGTGTAAATGTTGATTTCGTCAAAGATAAGTAAAAAAAGTCGCACTATTTTATTCAGTTTATAACCCTGAAACTTTCTTGTTTTTATTACTTTTATTATTGTCTATTTATCTTTTATTAATGTATTATATAATTTTATTTAATGTATTGTATTATACATTACAATGTAAAAACTGAATTCAATTTGAAAACTAAATTGTTTAATTTTATAAGAAAAAGCAAAGAGTTTGTCAGAAATCAAAAAAATTCAAATAGAAATTTTCTTAATGCTTTCCTTAAATTTTTGATTCTTCATTATAAAATTTTGATTCTTTATTAATTTATTTATATTTTTAATTCTCTATTATAGTTTTAAATTTTTTAAAATCTTTTAGGTGCTCCGAGAAGTCCTTGAAAAATTACAAAAAGTTGAAAGAATTTGGAATCTATGTTTTTGTATGTAAATGTGGTGCAGAAAGTTTAAGAACATTCTGCACCAAATTTACATATGAAGTCCTTACATGTGTACAATCTAGCTTACAGTGATTAGGCTGTACGTGGTCACGAGGGTGATATGTGGGCTGACGCTAATTCGTTAGAGATCGGTGCTCTTATTCAAGTAAAACTACTGTAGAAGATGCAACACTGTTACGAAAAGAAATATCTGATGATCATATAAACATTGCGGAGCTGGATGCTGCAATGCAAAGAATGAATAAAATAGATTTGACGTGGAAACTAAAGAAAGTGATAATTTTTACAGATTCCGTGACAGTGTTCCACTGGGTCTTCGAAGCTCTTACTGGTAAGTAAAGATTGAAATCAAAACCAATGGGCGAAATGTTAATTCATAGAAGACTAAGCGTTTTGCAACAATTTATTGAAGAATATGGTTTTAATGTTAATGTAAAACTTGTTTTTTCACAGATAACTTAGCTGATCCATTGACAAGGGTTCGAAGTAGATAGTTGAATAAATTGACAGAGGCTGAACATTCGATTAATTCCGTCGGAGTGGTGGTTGTAGAGGCTAAATCCATTTCTAGCATACACAAGAGAACTGGACACTAGTAAATTGAACGTTAAACCTTTTTTTTGTAAAGTAATTCCAACTGTTACCGAAAATGACGTTTGAGATGTAATTAAATATTGCGAAGCATGTCAGTCAATAGATCCAGCACCTGTACAAAGGATGAAAAAAAATATCGAGTGCTAAAGAAAATTGGAAAAGACTGGTTATAGATATCACATATTTTGGCACAGAAAAATTTCTAACTCTAATTGATTGTGGACCTTCAAGATTCGCCTTATGACGATAACTTTCGAGTTAATACAGAAGCATTTCTATCACTTGAATATTCCGCCTTATCGAAAGTCGAAGTAGAAGCGAACACAGACAGTGGTCGTGATAACGCGGAAAACTATATTGCGCAAATTAAAAGTGCGTTGGAAACGAGTCAAAACGACGTACTACAAACTAACGATGAAACCGAAAACGGATTCCGAGAAACAGAAGTGTCGTTGCATTTTAATTCTTCATACCCTCTATCACTAAGTTCTTGAACTAGATCTTTTTTGGCTTTGTAGGGGAGAAGGGTGAAAATTAGGAAGCTTTTCAGAAAAGATACCACAGCTTTTGTACTATTTGACAAAAAGTTGAAATTATTACTGAAAAAGATAATTTACTCATTAGTTATTTAAAAAAAACGAAGCTTATCATTGTCAAAAATTACCCCTTCTTGTGGGGATAGTTTTGGATAATGATAAGAGACAAAAACGTGGTTTTTAAAATTTAATTTATTTTATTGAGCTGAAGTTATAAACATTTAAAGACATTTAGTAATTATAAACAACACAGAATTAAGAGAATTTATACCAAAACAAGATTTATTTTTTTAAAGATTTCAAACTATTAAACTATTTTCTTGAATATTAGGGGGAAGTTGCTCATAATGAGTTAAAATAACAGTACATTGCTTTTTTGCAGCCAAAATATTATAACATTTATATTTGCAGATTATCATAATTTAATCTTTCCTCTTAAAGAATATAAATGTTCATTAAAAAAAATCTTCATACCAAAAATTGAGTTATTTTCAACACACCCAACTATCTCTTCTTAGGAAACCAGTTTCTAAAGATGAGCTTTTTTAATAGAACTCAAAAAAATTAAGAATAACGAAAAAATGATCACAAAAACTATACATAATTAAAAAGTAATTATCTTAACCTTAAAAAAAACAGTAATAAATATTTTCTATCTCTAAAAATGCTTGCAATACTATTTTTTGAAAAAACTTTCTCTCTTGAAATGCCAAAATAAAGCTCCGCGAAGAATAACTTTAAAAAAAAGCGCTTTTCTTAATAAAAAATCTCATCTCATCTTAAGCGTCTAAAAACGAATCATTTTAAGGGATCGTCTGTAAATTACGTAACGCAATAAACAAAACAAAAAAAAAATCAAAAGTTTTCCTTCGCAGAGTCTTATTTTAAATAAATAATCAAAATATAAAATTTAGTTAAATGAAAATCGCCGCGTAAAAGAGCTTAATATCTCATACTTCTGTTCTTGAAATATTTTCTGCGTTGCGTAATTTATGGACGATCCCTAAGCAACTTCACCAATTACTATCATAATTTGAATAGCATGACAACAGCTTATGTATTATCTCATAAAACACATAGAATTAGCAGTAGATAAGCATAAAATATTGAGGATGTAATAAAATTTTTATGATCTTGTTTGGTTCTGACGTAGTTATAAAATATTGAATAATAAAAAATTATAGCGGGGATGGTAAATTTCTTTAACAGTAAAACAATCAAAGACTTTTAACTATACAACCAAGAAATTAAAATAAATAACACCGTTAAACTTGTATGAACATTCTTAACCAAAACAGTTCGCGAAAAAATTATTAGTCTACCCGTAAAAGAGGTTATACCAACTTAGAAACCAGCTCATCTTATGCAACCTTCCTCTATATTCAAACAAACTAAAATGAAAATACTATTCAATCACCTATCAATCTCCTATCAATCTCATAAATACAAAAGTATTAACAAAAATAATTTAAAAATAACAAAGTAAAAAATACGAATGTAAAACGGATAACGAGATAAACATAAATGAAAGTTTTCTTGTTACTTAATTGAAAAAGTAAAGTTCATAATATTCAACAAAGTTTAAATGCGGAAAAAGAATATTTAGTGGAAAAAAAAAATAATTTTTCAATTTTTTATTATTTCTAAGAATTTTAATTCTGTAAGGCAATGCAATTTTAGAGAACATAAATACACTTGCAGCTTCCCTTAGTTTTATTGTTTTATTAAAAATCTGTTTTACCGCAATTTTTTATTTTTTTTCAATTATTTCGCATTTTTTTTTATAATTACCCACCATTTTTAAATTTTGTTTAACTTTTTATAATTTAACTTGCCGATAAGATTGTTAAGAGACGCTCAGTACGTCCAAATGTGTCTCATGAATATTGTCCATGGCTGCCACAACCCTAATTTCAGAGTATATTCTACAAAATTTTCGTGAAGATTTTATGTCTTGCAGTTAAAAAATATATTGATGTCTTAGAACATATCTAATCATTCACTAAAAATATAAAAAACAGATTCCTTGAAGATGTAATTTCCTCAGTAAATCTTTACGTTTAAAAACTAAAAGGTTTGGAAAAACTATAAAAATCATAAAACGTTTGTGAAAAAGCCTAAAAAATGCCTTTCTTAAAAAATCCTGTGACGGTTACGTGCAAAAGTATTTTCTATTGACTTATGTATTTAACTTGGTTGATAAGTTTGTATATTTTTAAAATTTTTGCATTGTTCTAAACTATCCCTATCCTAAACTACCTCCTTCTCCCCTAATCAAAGATGAAGAAAGAGATTTCTTCAATACTAATCAAAGACTTATGAAGAAAGAGATTTCTTCAATATTAATTGATTTACGTAATTATAAAGAACTGATTCGCCTAAGAAGTAAAGAAAACACATTCAAGAAGAAACTTAAATAAAAAAAGAAAACTGAGTTAGATCATTTTCAGATTGGCTAACCTACTATAAATTAAATTTACTATGAATTAATTGAATTTGTTATTTGTTATAGAATTTTTTGGACTGTAAAAAAAGACTTTAAAATAAGACTACATTACATAAATAAACAATGATAAATATTGTAAACACTACACATTAAAGCAATTAAGAATTCTGAACTAGATTTTTGATCTTATGAAGGAAAATAATCAAGACACAATGACTCTGTTTTTAAAAAGAGAAAAACTTGCATCACTAGTTGCAAGAATCTTAGAAAAATCAAGTCTAATGCAAAATAAAATGGCATGTAGTATAAGCTGCAATAAGATTTAATATTTTCAATTTTAAAGCAGCAGCTTTAACATTGAAAATATTAAATCTTATTTAAAAAGCGGGTATAATAAAAGATATATAGATTGTCTTTCTCTTGATATGTCATGTTTTTCTTTCAAACCAAAAAAAAATGTGCCGGACAAAGAATAATGTTATAAAAGAAAATACAATTATTAAAGCTGTAATTTAAAAAATTTAACTCATGTTGCATATGATGAAAAAGAAGATTTCGGCTAAAGCGATTCCAGAAAAGATCAAAACTGAACAACATAACAGCAACTCTGAAGCTAAAAGGTACAAATTCGTTGCAGCTAGCGATATTACTACAATATAACGATAGCTACAGATGAGGTTTGTAGCTAATTACATCATAAAAAATCTAAAGCTTTTCGATAGCTACATATTGTCCATTTTTAGGTAGCAATGTTTTAAACACCTAATCAATAGCCAATATAATAGCTAAAAAGCTATTATATTGGCTATTGACTAGCTTTAGATTTGTCATTATGTTGTTGTTCGCTACATACCTACGATCTGTACCCATCGATATTTTGTAAAAACAACATGCTTTTACTAAATATTGATAGCTATATATTGTTTAAGTTATGAAAAAATTAAAGATTATAAATTAAGATTAAAACTTGTAAACAATAAAAATTATTGGCATCATTGATTAATTCACAATTAATAAATAATTCCAATAATTTTGACAATACATGTCAAAATGTTATCAAAATTAAAAAAAGAGATTTTAAAAGTTGGGGACCCCTAATCGTTAAAATCCCCAAGCCATGGTCTAGTCTGGTCCATTGGTTAATCCACCACTGGCTATTGTAACTAACAATAACATAATGACAAGCCTAAATTTATTAGATAGCTATATATTACATTTTTGTAGCCAGGTATAGAGAGTTTCTGGTTACGGATTTTGATCTCTAGTTTTTCTTGGTCTCTGAAGGTTTAGTTCTAAAAGTTCTAAAAGTGTAAAATGACTTACAATCTGAAATAAGAAAAAAATTCATAAAAAATTTTATTATTGTAATTTTTTAGTCCGGACTCACATAGTCCTGGATACCTTACCACCATTATAATAAGAACTACGGTTTCCTCTTACCTAAAAATCTTGGAAAACGTTTCTGGATACTAAACGATAGGAAGAAATAATCATTATGTAACTTTCAAATTAGGTGTCCTTATTGGGACTCCACATCTCTTTTCGTATCAACATTAGATATAACTACAAAATCATTTAAAAGAAAAATACAACCAAAAGCCAATAATGAAAAAAAGTTTGGTTAAAAAAATTGGGGTGAATAAAAATCTAGCCTTATCTATACTAGAACGCGCGTCGTTTTAAGATGGTTTACGTAGCCGTCTGCAACTGCATAAAGTGATTGATATAAAGTTTAATAATGATAATAGTATGAATTGAATGGCATAAATAACAAATATAAAATGAATATTTGCAAGGCTTTTTAAATATGTTCGCAAGGTAATTTGCTAACATATTTAGCTGCGATGATTACTAGCTAAAAAAGAAAGAAACTCTCGCGGCCAAATTGTTTTAAATAATGCTAGCTAATTTTTTACAGGGAAGTGTAACTTGAGAGCCAACTGGAGGTCATCACATTATATCATACTTTCCATTCATCCGTATAAACTTGTAATATAGATAACTATTATAGTTTGTAAAATGCTTGAAAAAATAATGCTGAATCATGTGTTGTAATAAGTGGATTTTTAATAAATACTAATACAGGATGGTCAGAGGGTTATCATTTTGAGAAAATGTTGGCACATAAATGCTATAAGGCGATTTGCATGGAACATGCAACAAAACTCAAGCTAAGGCATTTGTTATATCACTCGATAGTTTAACAAATAACAAGTATGAGTTTACTTGATTTAGTGCAAACCAGTAAAACGATCTTTACAAGACGGGTTTACTGGTTTGTAAAACTCTCAAATCTCTAGATGATGCGACAATGATTTGTAGTTTTACTCCCCTGCCAGATGGAGAATAATAACAAAATTTGATAAGAATGACATAAAAAACTTATCTACTGACACTTATATCAGTAATGATTTTTTTTTTACCAGGAAGTTCACGCCTCCTTCCTTATTTTAACGTGAAAATATGTCCAGAGCGAACTTGGATCTCTTGGTTAGAAAGCAAGGGGTGTAACCACTGCGCCACGGCCGCGCATATATAAGCGTCAAGATATAATTTCATATAACATAGAAGCGTCATTAGATATAATTTCAGTAATATGCAGTAGTGGTGTAGTGGTAGAGCGCTCGCTTCATAAACGAGTGGTTCCGAGTTAGATCCCCACCACGTTCCTGGTAGTACCGCGCTCAACTCGTTTCTCCGCGCAGCGGCCTTGCTCATCAAGGTTCGTGTTTCGGAGTTATAGAGTTGAGAGAGGGTTATAATCACAAATAAGTAGCCTCCTCGTCTGTAGTGGCCTTCTCGGCCTTGAGGAGGTGAGTTAAAATTAAAAAAAAAAAAAAATTTGGAACACTTTTCTTTAATCATTCCAATTTTAAATGTGAATCATATTCTCGTTCACGCTGACGTAAAACATTTATGGGTTGATGATTGTGTATGGGCAAGAAATATTAACCTTTATTTTTGTATCAAATTTATTTTAAGCTTCGCTTTAAAACTTTTAACAAACATTTGCTGGAAGGTAGAACAAAGCACAATTTGCATAAAATTCTTATGATACTTAATTATCATACCTTAAATACAAA